TCTCCGCACGGCACGCTGTGTGGTCCCGGGGAGCTCAGGGCCGGGAGCATGAGGGGGGCTGTGGTGAGTGGCTGGGGGCAGGGGCAGGGGGCCCACTTGCGGGAGGGAGGCACCGGCCCGGCCCTGCGAGGAAGTGCCTGAGTCCAGGTGGCCCCTGGCCCAGGCCGGGCTGCACAGGGTCACGGCACCACTTGCGGTAGTGGAGGAGAAAGCCCACGGGACACCCGCTCTCGTTCCACACAGGCGGGCGCTGTGGCCATGCTGGGGCAGTTGCCACGGGTGCTACGCTGGGCCCTGGGGCTGGGCGTGGGCGCCCTGGGCACCGCCGTCCTGCTGCGCTGGGGCTTCCGGAGGAGGCTGGAGGCCAAGATCGCCCAGGCCCTGGCTCAGCGAGAGCAGCAGCTGCGCCAGATGGAGGCCACACTGCGGAGCTTCTGGCAGAAGGTGCCCCCCCCGCCCCCACAGGCTTCCCACACAGGGAGGGGGCGGGAAGGGGCGGGGAGGGGTGGGAGGGGGCTGGGGGCTGGGAGCAGCGTGAGGAGAGCAGGTCTCCCGGCCGGGAGGTGGCCGGGCAGTCTGCAGGATGCCAGCACCCTCATTCCAGAAGGATCCGGAGGGGTGGGGGCAGGTGGGGGCGTCCTGGGGGTCGGCCGCTGAGCTGCGTGGCAGTGACGCCACTCTGCCCGCTTGGCGCCAGTTCTGTTCCAGCCCTCCTGGCGGTGTTAGTCTCCCCACGCTGCAGCCTGCCGTGGGCTCCCCGACACTCACTCACGTGCCTGGCTGACCCGCGGCCCCGGGCCCGCTGCTGCTCTCTGCCCCCTGCATTGCTGCCGTGTGTCTCCACGGGCTGGGGGGTGGGGCTGAGCTCTGTGCCGAGTGCCCGGGCCGCGGGTCCCCCAGCGTCTCCCAATACCCTGTGTCTCCCTGCCGCTCGTCCACAGCCGTGTCTGTCCCCGTGGCCCCGCGTCTGTGTGTCTGTCCCTAATGTTGGTGTGTCTGTCCCCGCAGCACCCTGACGCTTCTCCCAAGTCCATTGTCTCTCTGTCACTGCTGGAGCTGACACAGAAACTCCAGGAGGGGACCCTGAGTCCCGAGCTTGTCCTCCACAGCTACCTGGAGCAGGTGAGGGCGGGGGCGGAAGCCGGGGGGGGGGGGGCAGAGGTCGGGCAGGGGCCCCGAGGTGGGGGGGGGAGGCTGCGTGTCTGAGTCCAAGGGGCACGTGCCTGAGTGACACACAGGGCATCTGTCCCTGAGAAAGCAGCTCTGTGCCCTCTGCCAGGGCCTGCGGTGGTCGGGGGGGGGGGGGGGGAACAGGCGGGAAGGGGCACCGGCCACCCGGGTGTCGCCCAGCCCTGGGCCTGACCCTGTGTTCCTGCGGGCCGTGGGCAGGCGGTCCGGACACAGCGGGATCGGAACTGCCTCACAGGCTTCCCGTCCGACTGGGAGCAGCAGCTGCAGGAACTGCACCAGCGCCCGCACCGCGGGCCCTTGTACGGCGTGCCCGTCAGCCTGAAGGACAACTACCAGTGCCAGGTGGGGCCCGGCACCGCCAGCACCAGCTCCCGCCACGCGCCACCAACCGCCCACCTACTGCCCACCACGTGCCCAGCACGCGCCAGGCACGTGCCCACTGCGTGCCCGACAGCTCCCTGCCACACTCCTACCATGCATCCATCACATCCACCACGTGCCCAGTAGCTTGCCCGTGCCGGGCCGTCCCACTTCCCTCGCATGTCCGAGCTCCACTCCGGGCAGTGAGCTGGGTGCTCTGAACTGCAGGACGTCCCGGCTGCCTCCTGCTCGTGGCCCTCCCGGAGGCCAGCTCCATCCTGGGGCGCAGGGGCTTGTCCCCGGCCCTGAGTCTGGAGGGCGCAGGCACCACGGGAGCGAGGGCCGCTCTTGCCAGGATGGGCTCCCCAAGTCCATCTCAGAGTGGTCGGGGAGTGGGCAGAGAGAGGGCGACAGGGAGGGCCTGTGTCCTGCCGGTGGCCTTCGGGCAGCTGAGGCCTGCACCCGGGCCGGCTCTGCAAACATCGGGCCCGAGGAGAGAAAGCGGGAGTCCGTATCCCCGGGAGGTCCCGGTGTGGACGGCGCCGCCCTCTGTACGTTGAGAAGGGCGAATGCACAGCAGAGACCCCCTTGCCCACAGAGCCGGGGCCGCCTGGGCAGCAGGACGAGGGCAGTGGGCGGCGGGCAGGAGCCCGGCCCAGCGCTGGCCTGCGTGCGGACGCCTCCTGCCCTGCATCTGTGGAGCAGGGGGTGCTTGGCAGAGCTGTGCCGGCAGACGCGCGGGCTCTGGGGACCCCGTGCAGACCGTGCTCTGCGCTCAGGCCCGAGCGGGTGCCTGGATGGCCTCTGTTCGGTCACTGCCGGCGTCGGCCCACCCTGTCCAGCCCCTGTTCCCGTGACACGGTGTCCCCGTTAGGGTGTGACGTCCACCTGTGGCCTGGTGGCCTGGATGGACAGGCCGGCCAAGGAGGACTGTGTGATCGCCAAGGTGCTGAAGAGCCAGGGGGCTGTGGTGTTTGCCAAGACCAACGTCCCGCAGGCCATGATGAGGTGGGTGCGTGCCCGGCCGTCCTGGGTGCCTGGCGAGTGGCCCAGAGCCCCGTGGGGAGGGAGTCGGGGGAGGGGGACGGGCGAGTGTCTCCACAGCGAGCACTGACTCTCCACTCTCCGTGGCGGCAGTGGCAGGCCCCGCGGGTCTGTGGGTGGTGGAAGAAACCCCGGGGCCTTGGTCTCTTTCAGCTACAACAGCTTCAACCCCGTCTTCGGATGGACTCTGCACCCCAAGGATCCCCAGAAAATGCCCGGGGGCTCGTCCAGTGGGGAAGCTGTGCTGATCGCCTCCGGGGGCTCCATCCTGGGCATGGGCTCTGACCTGGGCGGCAGCATCCGCCTGCCCGCCAGCCTCTGCGGGGTCTGTGGATTCAAAGTCACAAGCGCCAGGCTAAGGTGACAGGGATCTCCTCAGGGGCTCTCGGGGCCTCTCGGGATCTCTCCCAGGGGCTCCCAGGGGCTCTCAGGATCTCTCAGACTCTCTCAGGGTCTCTCTCAGGATGTCTCAGGGTCTCTCAGGGTCTCAGAGTTTCTCTCAGGGAGGGATTTTTCAGGGTCTCCCTCAGAGTCTCTCTCAGGGCCTCTCTCAGAGCCTCTCTCAGGATGTCTCAGGCTCTTAGGATCTCTCAGGGCGGTGCATCGGGGCTTTCTCCAGAGCCGTCTCAGGTGAAGCTAAAGACTCGCAGAGCTTTTCTGAGGGCTGACCACAGGCCTGGTGTGTGTGACCGAGCCTGTCGTCGTAAGTGGAACCGGCCCGCAGTGGTGAGGCTCTCTCGGGCTGACACAGAAAACGCCTGTTTTGCAGCTCGCTGGGGGTGCTGTCGGCGATGCCAGGCCAGAGTACGGGTAAGCCGCCTCGCCCGGCTTCCCCCCTGTGAGGACGCGGGTCCTGGCCCAGGCTGAGCGTGGGGCCCCCCGGCCGTGGGCGTCCGAGTCCAGCCTGGGCGGGACCTCGTGGGTGTCGGTGGAGGGCCGGGACACGGGGAGGGCAGCGGCCCTGGGTGGCGAGGAGGGCGGGGCTCAGGGAGGCCGTCTGCTCGGAGACCCCGGCAGGGCGAGCCCGTGCCCCCTCACCCGCGCCCCCGAGCGAGGCCTGGGCTCCCGAGCAGCCGCCCCCTCTCCTCCTCCCGCAGTCATGGCTGCCCTGGGGCCCATGGCCAGGGACGTGGACAGCCTGGTGCTGTGCCTGCGGGCGCTGCTGTGCGCCGAGCTCTTCCGGCTGGACCCCACGGTGCCCCCGCTGCCCTTCAACGACCAGGTGAGCGCGGGACCCGCCTCTCTGGGCCCGTGGGCAGGGACCTCGCCCCAGCCGCGAGGCGTGCGGCCGGCCGAGCCCGGGGATCGCTCCGTCTGGGACCTCGGGCCCCCGGCTTCCCGCACCCGCACCCGCGGCGGCTGGTCTGGCCGGCTGCAGGCCTCCCTCAGAGCTGCTCGGCTGGTGCCGGGGGGCTTCAGGGGCCCGTGTTGGCTGCTCGGGGCTGAGCTGAGACTCTCCCAGAGCCATTGGCCCTGGCGGGTTTCCTGCAGTGAGGTGCTCCCCGAGGCTCTGGCCCGGGGGCGGGGCGCCTCATGCCCCGGGAGGGAGCACGGGGTGAGGAGCCACCAGGGCCAGGACAACCAGGTGCCAGTGACGGACGGCTGGGCCCCTTGCCACGTGACGCGCGAGCGCAGACTGGGAACCTCCCTCTCCCTCTCTCCCTCTCCATCCATCCGTCTCTCGCGTCTTCTCCCTCTCCCTCCCTCTCTCCCCATCCCCCCCTTTCCCCTTTCCCTCTGTCTCTCTTTCCACCCCCGTGTCTCCTGGGCCTCTCGGCCGGTCCCGCCACACAGCTGTACTCCTGCTCCGAGCCCCTGCGCATCGGCTACTGCGAGGAGTTCGACAGCCTCAGCCCCACGCTGCCCTGCATGAGGAGGGTCCTGCAGCAGAGCCGGGAGCTGCTCGAGAGGGCCGGGCACAAGGTGGGTGCTGCCGGCTCCTCCGTCAGCCCCCGCAGGGCACAGGCCGCCTTGGGTGTCTGAGGGCAGAGGCTGCCAGCACAGGGGCCGTGTGAGGACAGGGCTGGGGTCCGGAAAGGCGGGTCCTGATCCACTGGAGAAACGGCAGCGCCTGGGGCACGAGGCCAGAGTGCGTGGGGGGAGGGGCGGGGAGGAGGGGAGAGGGAGGGGGGGCCAGGGGAGGGGGTGTTGTTGCCGCTGAGACGGGCTCTGGGTGTGGCCGTGGGGGTTGTGAGGGATCCGAGCCGGTGAGGGCAAGGGTGTGAGAGGGCGTATCCCAGGAGGCTCAGACTCTTCAGCACAGATGGGGAAGAGGCTGTGTGGGGCCTGCAGGAGGTGTGAGCAGACCCGTAGGTGTGAGCAGACCAGCAGGTGTGAGCCCGGCCCGCAGGTGTGAGTAGTCCCGCAGGTGTGAGCCTGGCTGGCAGGTTTTAGCTGACCGCTGGTGTAACCCTGGTCAGCAGGTGTAAAGCCTGGCGTGCAGGTGTGAGCAGACCCACAGGTGTGAGCAGACCCACAGGTGTGAGCAGACCCACAGGTGTGAGCAGACCAGTAGGTGTAAGCCCACCCACAGGTGTGAGCAGACCCACAGGTGTGAGTAGCTCTGCTTGTGTGAGCCTTGCTAGCAGGTGTGAGCTGACCGCCGGTGTGACCCAGAACCGTAGGTGTGACCCCAGTCAGCAGGTGTGAGCCTGGCGTGCAGGTGTGAGCAGCCCCACAGGTGCGGCCCTGCAGTGACCGGGCAGGCTGGAGCTCCCACGAGGCACTTCCTTGTCTGGCAGCAGAACCCGGGGTCGCAGGCTCCTCGCAGGTGCAGATCCCCTCACTCCCAGAGTCCTGGACACAGAGACTCGCCTTTCCTTTCTCATTAGGGACGTCAGTCTCCGCTTTCGTGTAGAGACTAGCTCCACACTAGCTTGGGGCAGTGACGGGTCGGCTGACCGCCTCTGCTCCCGGGGTGGCGAAGCGTGAGGACAGGACCAGCTCAGCAGCAGGAAGCGGAAACACCTCAGCCCGTCCTCACTGTCACCCTCCTCGGGGCTCCCTTGTGCCTGCCTTTCCACTGACCTCCGAGCCCCCTTGCTCGAACCCAGTCCCCGAGAGTCCCTGGGCGGGTGCCCAGAACCCAGTCCCCGAGAGTCCCTGGGCGGGTGCCCAGAACCCAGCCAGGGTGAGGAAGCTTGGCCATCAGTGCCCTGCCTGACCCTCTCTCCTCCCTTCAGGTCATCCCTTTCTCCCTCCGACAGACGGACTCCATGACTTTCCACTTCTTCTATGGTGGCATCCTAGCAGACGGACTGGAGACTTTGAGTGAGCTCTTGTGAGTGGGAGAGGGAGGCCGGGGGCCCCGGGGGTGGCACCAAGGGGCGTGCCGAGCCCAGGAGGAGGGAAGGGCTCTGTTCAGCTTGGTGACTGTTCGGGAAGGTCCAGCGTGAAGTACTCACAGGGCTGACGGACAGCAGTGGCTGGGGGGGTGGCCTCCAGGGGTCAGAGCCATGGCTCCCCGTCAAGAAATATTTGTCACTGGCATCACCTACCAGGTGAGAAAGAGGTCTTGGATCTGGGTGAGAAAGACAGGAGGCAGGTGGGACCACCCCCTCCGTGCACGCACATGTATGTGTGTCTGGAACACGCAGGCCGTCGCTGCGGTCACAGAGCCTCGCTCAGTGCATGCCCATGAGGACCCTGCCGCCCTCGAGGAAGGTCCACAGGAGCCTGAGGGGCTCGGTGGGGGTAGGGCTGTCCTGCTCGCTGTCCGCACACTCCCGCCTCTGTGGGTGCCCCCCGCACCCCGGGGCTCATGGCCCCAGCGGCTGTTCTGTGCTGAACAAGCTCCAGCCTCACATCCGGCCCCGGGTCTGCCAGACGCTCGTGGACTTCAGAGTCAAACGAGATTGGAAGCGCCAGGAGGGAATTTTCTATTTGTTAGTTTTGGGGGCCCACGTTAGTTTTGGGAAGGCCCAGGGGTCACCCCCAGCAGGCACGAGGGTCCACGTGAGGCCCGCCACTCGCCATCCTGCTGCTTGGGGCCCTCCAGGAAACGGTTTCCGTCGAACTTTCCCGACGGTGGGGCTGAGAAGGGGCCGCCAGCACATGTGCTGCCCGCTCAGGGTGAGCCCCAGAGCCAGAGCTGGACGACGGCGCAGCGGCCGGTGTCCTGACCGTGCCCTTGTCCTTGCCAGGAGGGACGAGAAGCGCAGCCCTTCCCCGGGCCTCATCCTGGAGCTGTGCCGGCTGCCCGTCTTCCTGAGGCGCCTCCTTTCTGTCCTGCTGCGTCCCTGGGTGAGTGTCGGCCCCTGCGGGGGGCTGGACGGGGCGGGCGGGCGACTGGCCTCAGGGCTGTCCCCTCTGTGGCGGCGCTACTCTCCGGAGCAGCCCAGGGTCCAGCCTCGGTCCCTCGTGTCTGGCCTTGCCACGGCCACACACACGGCAGCGTCGCCAGGAGCACGTGTGCAGGGTTCCCATGTGGGGTGCTTGTGTCAAGGCGTGAAAACCACCTGGTCCGCCGGAAACCCGCTGCGGCTGCCTGTCCCCCAGCAGGGCGCCAGCGCCCACCACACAGGAGCTCCGGGCAGCCCCGGTCGCTCACCTCTGCTTCTGGCTCTGTGTCACCCTCCCACCCCAGGGGGTGGTCCCGAGGCTGGCGTGGGGGAGGGGCAGGGAGCCGCTAGCGGGTGGTCCCACACTCCCGAGCCTCAGCACCCACGGCTCCTGGTCCTGCGCCACAGCCTGAGGCCGACTGCCCACTGCCCGCACCACGTGTCGGGGACACTCGCCACCCTCTGCTCCTCCTCCTGCCGCTCTCTGGCGGGTCCCGTGTACACGAGGCACCCACAGGTTCACCCCGCTCCAGCCAGCGGGCGCCACCCCTCAGGGCTGGTCCTGCCGTGTGGGTCCCAGCTTCTCTGGACAGAGATGGCGCGCTGGCACCCTGGCCTCTTTCCTGGGGATCCTTCTGCTCCGTGCACACGACACCTCTCCCTCCCCTGTCAGTCGGCCAGAGACACCTGCCTTTCCCTCGGCCGTCTGTCAGAGACACGTGTCCTCCCTCATCGCCAGTTGGTCAGAGACACCTGTCCTTCCCTCGACCGTCCATCCGTCGGTCGGGGCTCTCTCGCCCGGCGCCCTTATGTCGCCGTGGGCGGACCTGCTGTCTCTTGCATGTGGGAGGGAGGTGATGCTCTGGGCAGACTCTGCTGCCTCCTGCCTTCTGGCCCTGGAGAGCGATAATGAATCGCACCTTTGCCTCTGGGAACCGCGGGAACCGCAGTGGGGGTGAGGCTCGGTCCACTGCGTGTGGCGGGTGGACACAGGCCCGGATTTGCTGTCAGGGTCCTCCCTGAGGAGGGGCAGACTGGGCGAGGTCCCGTCTGCTCCCCATGGGCTCCCCACTCAGCTCTGCAGGAGGCTCAGTCCCGGGTCCCACCTGCTGGAGCCCCCGCTCCCCCTCCCCTCCCTGCCCCTCCCCTCCCTGCCCCTCAACGCCCCTGTCCCCTCGTGTCCCTCCCCACTCCTGCCCCTCCCTTCCCCTCCCCCTCCTCCTCTCTGCTCTTCCCCATGCCCTCCTCTCCCCCCTCGCCCTGCCCCTCCTCCCTCCCCGACCCTCCCCCTCCCTGCCCATCCCGCATCCCTGCCCTCCCCCTCTCTGCCCCTCCCCCACACCCTCCTCTCCCCCTGCTCCTCCCCATCTCTGCCCCCGCCCTGCCCATCCCCCATCCCTGCCCCCTGCCCCTCCCCCGCACCCTCCTCCCTCCCTGCCCCTCCTCCCTCCCTGCCCCTTCCCCCTCCCCCCTCTCTGCCGCTTGCTTCCCCGTGCCCTCCTTTCCCCACTTGCCCTTATTTTCTTGAGCACTAACAGCGAGAGCAGCTGGTGCCAGTCCATCCTCCCTCTGGGAGCTGTTCCCCAGAAACGCGAGTCTCCGACTCAGGGGACAGGCCAGCATCCCTGCCGGCCCGACAGCGTCCCTGTCATTGGGCCACTAGGGTCCACAGCGGGGACCCCTCTCGGCCCCCATGCCCAGCCCTGAACTCCCTCCTGCCTGTGAGAGTTTGCAGGACGGGCCACGGAGGCGTGAGCTTGAGGGACCCTGGGCTGCATCTGATCAGGCTCCCCCTGGGGGCCAGGGCGGCCCTGGGGGGCCTCGCGGCTCTTCAGCCCCGGCTGCAGGCCTGCGGCTCGTTCCCCCATGGGTGGTCGTCCAGGCGCTGGGGAGATGATCGGGGCCGGGCAGGTGGCCAGACCCCCTGCTGTGGTGCTCAGACCCCACTGGCCACGAGCCCGCTCTCCACGGCTCCTCAGTTACCCCATGCCGCACCGTGCCCCGTGTGCGGGCTGCCGAGCAGAGCTACTGGACGGGGCAGTCGAGACCTCACCGGGCTGACGTTCAGCTCCAGTCCTGAGCTGTGCCCAGCAGGGTCCCTCCCGAGGCCTGGTCAGGGGGACTGTCCTCTTAGCCCCTCGGCTGTCGGTGCCCACGACACGCTGCCACAGCCCAGACTCGCGCGGCGTCCACGTGGGCCTGGGGAGCGGCTGCGTCCGTGCCCTGCCCCCCGCCAGCAGAGACGCGTTCTGGCTTCTTCCAGGTCCCGCGGCTGGCCAAGGTCATGAAGAAGAGCGTGGGCCTCCGGTGAGTTCACGCAGCCTCAGACACAGTGCCAGCGGGCAGGTGGGCGTGCCAGGGGCCTGAGTGCTGCCCGCCACGCTCTCTGGGGACTCCGTCCAGAGCGAAGCTGGCTCCAGGGCGGAGAAGCAGAGGCAGCGCGGCTGAGGTGGCAGCAGGGGTCCAGGGCGGAGTTTCCTCTGCTGCCGCCGTGGTGGCGAGCGGTGGCTCCTCCAGCTGTGCGCCAGCCGTGCCCTCAGCTGCGCCCTCACGGTGCCCCAGCCGTGCCGTGAGCGGTGCCCCCTGGCACTGTGTCCTGCGCTCCTGCCCGCTCTGCCGCTGCCCCACCTCGGCCTAACACTGCTGTGCCCGCAGGTCGGTGAGGAAGCTGTGGGAGCTGCAGGTGGCTCTGAAGGTACGTGGCCTCTGGGCGGGCCGGGCCTGGCGCGGGGTCCCGGGAAGCTGACGAGGCGCCCGCCGAGGCTCGTTCTGGCCCTTCCCCCGCCCTGACTTCCGGGAGCTGCTGATTCCTGGGAGCCTGAGCCGGGCATGCCGGGACCACGGGCACAGAGATACCGAGCCCTGCACAGCAGCGGTGGCTGCTGGCCAGCGACCGTCTCTGTCCCACGCGCAGAGATGCTCAGACGCACACTCACGGCACTCACGGCACACACGTGCTGTTGCAGGGCCAACGTGAGCACTGTGGGCCACAGCACGGAGAGGGCAGCCGCGCTGACCACAGCTGTTGGTTGGCGCCACTGATTGGGAAGGCGAGCGCGTGGCCTGCTATGGTCTGGGCAGGCAGAGTGTGAGTGTGCCCGGCCGTGTGAGGGCGAGTGTGTGTGCGTGTGACTTGAGTGTGCACGGGTGGGAGGGCGGGCGAGTGTGTCTCTGTGTGAGGGCGGGTGTGTGCAGGTGTGAGGGCGCGTGTGTGTCTGTGTGAGGACGAGTGTGTGCAGGTATGCGCGTGGGTGTGTGCGGGTGTGAGCGCGGGTGCGTGCGGGTGTGAGGGCGTGTGTGTGCCTCCCTTTGGGTTTCTCCCTCTTGGTGCTGCCCGGGCCGCTGCCCAGAGCTGTTGGCCCAGGATCTTGTGGGCGTCCCCCGGGAGTTCCCGTGTCTGGCCCTCAGTCCGCAGCTGCGAGTGGCGCTCGTGGACCTGCTCAGACTCCGACTGACAGGCTGCCGTGCCCACGTGTTGACCGCGTGAGAGTGGGCAGTGCCCGGCCCGTGCTGCTGTCCAGGGCCCGCGCCACCCCGCCCCACCCCGAGGCACCTGCCGCGCTGTCTGGCGCGACTCGCCTGCCTCTGGCCTCCTCCTCCAGACGTACAAGCATGAGGTCATCCGCCAGTGGACGGCCCTGGAGCTGGACGTGCTGCTCTGCCCCTCGCCGTGCCCCGCCTACAACCTCTCCGCCAAGGACTTTCCCTTTGGTAAGGGCCACAGACAGCCGGCCTCTCCGGCCCCTCGCAGGGTGTGCGGCCGGACGTCAGGCCCGCATCAGCTCCGGGCGTCCCCCTGCCGGCCACAGCTCTGCCTCCTCCATGCCGCGCCCAGAACCTCCTCGGCTTCCTCAGCGCCTGCTTCCTCGCTCTTCTTCCCTTTCTTTCACGGGGCCAGACAGCTCTGCTCCCGTGTCCCTCGCCAGCACTGGCCCCACCACTGCAGGGCTGGGGGACACCCGGGCCCTCTCCCCCCCCGGGGCCCGCGTGCTTGTGCCCTGACCTTTGGCCCTTCCCGTTCATGCTCCGGAAGCTCCCAGGAGGCTGACCGGAGCGCAGCAATTTGGACCCCCTGTTTGGGAGAGAAGAATGGGAACCCCATCCAGGAGGACACTGGCCTGCATGTCCACACTCTTGGACACGCTCCTTGGGGAGCAGATTCTGACACACAGCGTAGACCCCCACCAGCACCCTGCCCTCATGGGCCAGCGCTGAGGCAGCCTGGGGCTTGGCTGATGCTGACCCAGGGTGTCGGGGCTGGACAGCGGGCCGGGGTTTCACTCTGAGCTGACCGCCTCCCCAGGGCTCCCTTTCCTGCAGTACCCTCTGGGCCCCCACTGTGTCCTGCTCATTCTCCTCCACAGCCGAGTCACCCATCAGGAGCAGTGCCGCACACATCGCCCCTTCTCGGGCGCTGTGGTCGCTCCTGAGTTTCATGGAGGGCTGACACAACTGCTGTGGGCCGCTGTTGGAACAAGCCCCGGCCCACCCTGGGTGAACTCCAGGAGCAAGGGTGCTGGGCCCGTGGGCAGCGGGGCCTAGCTGGGCAGGAAGCAGCCGGCGCCTGGGAGCCCGGTGTAGGGGGTGTTGTCCATCCTGCAGAAGCTCCTGTGGTGTCCACGACAGTCCTCAGCCTTTCTGTCCACGGTTGTTTGTCTCTCACTGAGTTTTCAGGGCCCTTCACCTAGCGCAGAAACGTTCTCGTTTGGAACTCTGGCTTTTGCAAAGGTTTTCTCTAACCTGTGACTTGCCTTTCCATCCTCCTGACGTTATGCATTCCACGGGGAATTTTTTTTTTTGAAGTCAAGGTTTTGTTCCAAAGAATTTACTTAGAGATTGCAAGGGGAGAGAAGGAGAGACACACACTTCTCCAGAGGCTTCCTGTCAGCGCCGTCTTGGGAGCTTCCTTGAGGTCCAGTTCATTGCCGGTTTGTGCCCTTGGTGTCGGGTCTAAGAAGTCACTATGTTTTTGTCTCGGAATTTTATGCTTTTTCATTTTATACTTAGGTCTGTGTCTATTACTCGAGTGTCTATTTTAAGGTAATTTTTATCAAGCCTTCATTTTTATTAAGTCTTGGGGCTGGAGTGATAGCACAGCGGGTAGGGCCTTTGCCTTGCACGCGGCCGACCCGGGTTCGATTCTTGGCATCCCATAGGGTCCCCTGAGCACCGCCAGGGGTATTCCTGAATTCCTGAGTGCAGAATCAGGAGTAACCCCTGAGCATTGCCGGGTATGACCCAAAAATTAAAAAAAAATTTTTTTTTAATTTAATTTTTTCAAGTCTAGAGTAAATACATTTGCAGAGGAAAGTCAGAGTTTCAGCTGTTTCTTGAAAAGATCTTTTCTACGTTTGGCCGCTCTGCTCTTCCAAAGGCCTGTCACTGGGTTGTGTGAGACAACTCCTGGTGTCTCTTTTCTGTCCCCTCCAGAGACCCGTTCTTTAGCCCCTGCCAAGCGCGCTTCAGGACGGTTGCTCTGTACTGACTTTCGAAACAGAATCCTGTCAGGACGCTAACTCTATTCTTCGGTTGTAGGCTGACCATGCAAAGGGTTTTGCGGCTCCTCTCCAGCTGGAGAACTGGTATGCCAAGTCTCAAGGCCATGTGGTTTGTCGGGTCTTGCTCTTCTGTGGAGTCTGAGTGAGGGAGATAGTGAGGGGCTCGGACTGTGGGTTTCTCTGTTGGCAGACTGTGAGCCTCATCCCTACTAGCATGACTGCTGGTGAGCTGCTGTGTGGGACAGTGTTGTTCATCTCTGACCGACATAGTTGAGAGCGTTGGGCTCTGGTCTCCAGGAAATTCTGGTGTTTGTTCTAGTATCTTTGCTGGTTTGTCCACTTTTTTTTTCACTTTAAATATAGCAACTTTATTTATTTATTCATTTTTAATTTTTATTAGTGAAACACCATGAGGTACAGTTGTAGACGTACAAATTTTCGTGCTTGGATTTCAGTTATACAATGGTCGAGTACCCATCCCTCTACCAGTGCCCATTCTCCACCACCACTAATCGCAGTATCCCTCCCACACCCCATCCCCCCCATCCCACCCAGCCTCTGTGGCAGGGCACTCCCTTTTGTTTTTAGGGTTTGTTTGTTTGTTTGCTTTTTGGGTCACACCCAGTGATGCTCAAGGGTTACTCCTGGCTTTGCACTCAGGAATTACTCCTGGCGGTGCTCGAGGGACCATGTGGGATGCCAGAGATGGAACCTGGGTTGGCAGCATGCAAGGCAAACATCCTACCCGCTGTACTATCACTCCGGCCCCAGGGCACTCCCTTTTGTTCTCTCTCTCCTTTTGGGTGCTGTGGTTTGCAAAAGAGGCACTGAGTGGCAATCTTGTTCGGTCTATACTCTGCTTTCAGCACGCATCTCCCATCCTGGGAGGATCCTCCCAACACCCTTTACTTGGTGCTCCCTTCTCTGTCTGAGCTGCCTTTTCCCCTAGGATGTGCGGCTGGCCTCCAAGCCATGGCGGTACTTACCCTCCTGGTACTTATCTCGGCTATTCTTGGGTGTTAGTCTCCTATTTTGTTACTTTATATTCCCCAGATGAGTGCAGTCTTTCTATGTCTGTTAGGTGGCTTGTCCACTTTTTCATGGCCTCCAAAGGCCAGTGCGGTGCTTCCTTCCCTCCTGGTCTCCTTCCTCTTCTCCGTGCCGGGGGTGTTCAAGGACTGTCCTGGCCCTGATCTGGAGGAGGTTTCATGTCCTTTGCTCGCCAGGACTCGGGCAGGGCCCTCTCACGGCGGGAGCCCTCGGCTCTCTCTCCCCGGCGAGGGCGCCTGGCCCCAGCAGCGGCACCATGATCTCGTGGTCACAAGATCACCGAAGTTCACGCTGCGCTGTTCCCGCCTCCACAGAGGACAGAGTGACTCAGGCGTGGGCAAACGCTGAGGACTCTGAGGGAGGCTGTGAGCGGTGAGGGGCTGCACCACCCCTCCAGGGGCTTCTCGGATAGCAGCTTCTCTCCAAGGACAATGGCTGCCTGGGGCCCTGTTCTCTGCTGCTGAAGGGGGAGAGGGGGAGGGCAGGAGAGAAGTGAGGTGCGGCCGGCCCAGGTCTGACAGTCTGTGCTTTGCAGGGCAGTCATCTTACACGTGTCTGTATAACGTGCTGGATTTCCCGGCGGGGACTCTCCCCGTGAGCACTGTGACTGAGGAGGATGAGGCAGAGCTGCAACAGTTCTTTGTGCGCCGCGGTCGCTCTTCGAATCAGGTGAGAGACTCCTGAGGAGTGGGGGGTCCCTGAGGAGGGGTCTCTGAGGAGTGGGTCCCTGAGGAGTGGAGGTCCCTGAGGAGTAGGGGTCCCTGAGGAGTGGGGGTCTTTGAGGAGGGGGTCCCTGAGGAGTGGGGCTCGCTGAGGAGAGGTCCCTGATGAGGGGATCCCTGAGGAGTGAGGCTCCCGGAGGATGGGTCCATGATGACAGGGGGGTCCCTGAGGAGGGGTTTCCTGAGGAAGAGTCCCTGAAGGGGGGGGTCTCTGAGGACAGGGTCCCTGAGGAGTGGAGGTCCCTGAGGAGTGGGGGTCCCTGAGGAGGGGACCCCTGAGGAGGGGTCCCTGAGGAAGGGGTCCCTGAGGAGTGGGGGTCTCTGAGGACAGGGTCCCTGAGGAGGGGATCCCTGAGGAGGGGTCCCTGAGGAGTGGGGGTCCGTAGGGAGGGGATCCCTGAGGAGGGGTCCTTGAGGAGTGGGGGTCTCTGAGGACGGGGTCCCTGAGGAGGGGATCCCTGAGGAGGGGTCCCTGAGGAGTGGGGGTCCGTAGGGAGGGGATCCCAGAGGAGGGGTCCTTGAGGAGTGGGGGTCTCTGAGGAGGGGTCCCTGAGGAGGGATCCCTGAGGAGTGGGGGTCTCTGAGGACGGGTTCCCTGAGGAGGGGATCCCTGAGGAGGGGTCCCTGAGGAGTGGGGGTCCGTAGGGAGGGGATCCCTGAGGAGGGGTCCTTGAGGAGTGGGGGTCTCTGAGGAGGGGATCCCTGAGGAGTGGGGGTCTCTGAGGACGGGGTCCCTGAGGAGGGGTTCCTGAGGAGTGGGGGTCCGTAGGGAGGGGATCCTTGAGGAGGGCGTCCCTGAGGAGTGGAGCTCCCTGAGGAGGGGTCCCTGATGAGGGGATCCCTGAGGAGTGAGGCTCCCTGAGGATGGGTCCATGATGACAGGGGGGTCCCTGAGGAGGGGGTCCCTGAGGAGTGGGGGATCTCTGAGGACGGGGTCCCTGAGGAGGGAATCCCTGAGGAGGGGGTCCCTGAGGAGTGGGGCTCCCTGAGGAGGGGTCCCTGATGAGGGGATCCCTGAGGAGTGAGGCTCCCTGAGGATGGGTCCATAATGACAGGGGGGTCCCTGAGGAGGGGTTTCCTGAGGAGGGGTCCCTGAGGAGTGGGGGTTTCTGAGGAGGGGTCCCTGAGGAGTGGGGGTCTCTGAGGAGTGGGTCCCTGAGGAGGGGTCCCTGAGGAGTGGGGGTCCGTAGGGAGGGGATCCTTGAGGAGGGCGTCCCTGAGGAGTGGGGCTCCCTGAGGAGGGGTCCCTGATGAGGGGATCCCTGAGGAGTGAGGCTCCCTGAGAATGGGTCCATGATGACAGGGGGGTCCCTGAGGAGGGGTTTTCTGAGGAGGGGTCCCTGAGGAGTGGGGGTCTCTGAGGACAGGGTCCCTGAGGAGGGGTCCCTGAGGAGTGGGGGGTCCCTGAGGAGGGGTCCCTGAGGAGTAGGGGTCCGTAGGGAGGGGATGTCCCTGAGGAGGGTGTCCCTGAGGATTAGGGCTCCCTGAGGAGGGATCCCTGTTGAGGGGATCCCTGAGGAGTGAGGCTCCCTGAAGATGGGTCCATGATGACAGGGCAGTCCCTGAGGAGGGGTTTCCTGAGGAGGGGGTCCCTGAGGAGGAGTCCCTGAGGAGGGGTATCTGAGGAGTGGAGGTCCCTGAGGAGTGGGGGTACCTAAGGAGGGGGTCCCTGAGGAGTGGGGGGTGTCTCTGAGGAGGGGGCTCCCTGAGGAGGGGGGTCCCTGAGAAGGAGTCCTTGAGGAGTGGGGGTCTCTGAGGAGGGGCTCCCTGAGGAGGGGGTCCCTGAGGAGTGAGGGTCCCTGAGGAGTGGGGCTCCCTGAAGAGGGGTCCCTGATTAGGGTATCCCTGAGGAGTGAGGCTCTGTGAGGCTGGGTCCATGATGACAGAGGGGGCCCTGAGGAGGGGTTTCCTGAGGAATGGAGGTCCCTGAGGAGTGGGGGTCCCTGAGGAGGGGTCCCTGAGGAGTGGGGGGTCTCTGATGAGGGGGTCCCTGAGGAGGTGTCCCTGAGAAGTGGGGGGGTCTCTGAGGACAGGGTCCCTGAGGAGGGGATCCCTGAGGAATGGGGGTCTCTGAGGAGTGGGGGTCCCTGAGGAGGGAGTCTCTGAGGAGGGGTCCCGGAGGAGTGGGGGGTCTCTGAGGAGGGGTTTTCTGAGGAGGGGGTCCCTGAGGAGTGGATCCCTGAGGAGTGGGGGTCTCTGAGGAGTGGGTCCCTATGGAGGGGGTCCCTGAGTACAGGTCCCTGAGGAGGGATCTCTGAGGAGGGGGTCCCTGAGGAGTGAGGGTCCCTGAGGAGGGGTCCCAGAGGAGTGGGGTCTCTGAGGAGGGGTCCCTGATGAGGGGGTCCCTGAGGAGTGGGGCTCCCTGAGGAGAGGTACCTGATGAGGGGATCCCTGAGGAGTGAGGCTCCCGGAGGATGGGTCCATGATGACAGGGGGGTCCCTGAGGAGGGGTTTCCTGAGGAATGGTCCCTGAGGAGTGGGGGTCTTTGAGGAGGGGGTCCCTGAAGAGGAGTCCCTGAGGAGGGGTCCCTGATGAGTGGGGGTTCCTGAGGAGGGGGTCCCTGAGGAGGGGTCCAGAGGAGTGGGGGTCTCTGAGGAGGGGGGCCCTGAGGAGGGGTTCCCTGAGGAGGGGTCCCTGAAGAGTGGGGTCTCTGAGGAGGGGCTCCCTGAGGAGGGGGTCCCTGAGGAGGGGGTGGGTGTCCCCAAGAGCCAGGGGCCTGGGACGGGGCAGGGCCTGGGGAAGGCTTGAGCGGCGTCTGTGCCTGGTGGTTTAGAGGAGAGAGTGGTTGGGGGCCTGGCCTGGCTGCCTCCCCTCACCCGCCAGACGTAGCAGTCCACATGATCAATCATAGAACAGTGTTCCAGAACCTTCTCTCGGCATCAAGGCCAAGGAGGACCTAAGAAACGGGCACCCTAGCCCAAGACGCCCTAACCTAAGACACCCCTAACCTTAGTTCTGCTTCATAAGTGACCGGTCAGGGCCTTTTGAGAAACTAGAATGCTGGTTTCTGGGGCCCGCCCAGCCCGGGAGTCTCTTCAGGCCTTTCCTCCATGGGAGTCTGGGCATGGGTCAGCAGGCGGCGAGCAGCAGGCACGGCCAGGCGGGGCTGGCGGGGACTATGCATCAGTTTCCCACGTCGAGACGCTCCTGACCCAGTGGAAATGTTCTGGTTCTTGAGTCTTTCTAACAAGCCGCCTCCAGGCTCAGCGTGACTGCAGAGATCTCTGAGCAGGGGGTCCCTGAGGAGTGGGGGTCTCTGAGGACAGGGTCTCTGAGGGCTCCCTGAGGAGTGGGGGCCCCTCACGGGACTGGCTCTGTCCCCTGCCAAGCAGTGACCCCTGAGACATTTGTCCTTTCTCCTCCGAGAGTGCACAGAGAGAGGGCAGCCAGATGTACCTCTGTACGTCTGTACATCTGGCTGCAGAGCCGTTGCCGCAAAGCCACTGTCGCAGACACGCGATTTCTTCAGGGCCCTCTGACGGGGCTCCTGGGTCTCTGAGGCGCCCACAGGCGTGACTCCTGCTGGCAGCCACTCTTTTCGGGCTGACTGACTGCCCTGCGGTGCATGATGTACATGTCACGGCACCACGAGAGCAGGCAGGGCTGCAGGGGGCTGGGAGCGAGCGCAGGTCTGGGGTCACTCTTCCTGCAGTGGGGGTGACGGATGGCTGATGACAGGGGCAGCAGGTGGTGGGCTCGGGAGGGGCGGGGAACGCCACGGCATGCAGACGCATGACAGCTTGCTTCCGGGCTCTGGAGGAAAAGCCACCTCACGGGGGTTTCCTCAGACCTAAGGACTGGCATGGTGTTGGTGCCCCCGCCAGGGGTAAATGGGATGGGAGGAATGCCCAGGAGGCTCAAGAACAAACAGCAGAAGAAACGGTGACAGATAAAGCCCAGAGAGAAGGTGCTGGAAGGTCACGGGGAGCGTAAGGGGCTCGCCTCCCGGCCGGCAGGACAGGCTGGGGGGAGGCGTTCTAGAACATGCAGGAAGATGCGCGTCGATCCCTCCCTGGAGAAGCCGAGGCTCCCAGCACGGCTGACCCAGAGGGGTTGACAGGGCCGGTCTAGGGGCCAGCGCGGGCAGTGTCTGGCAGGGGGCAGGAGTGCCGCTCTCTCCCTGCAGGTCTTCGCCAGCAGCGTGGGGCTGCCCCTGTCCGTGCAGTGCGTGGCCTTGCCGTGGCAGGAGGAGAAAGCCCTGCGCCTGATGAAGGAGGTGGAGACACTGATGGGGGCTGCGGGGGAGCCCAGGCCCCCCAGGCCCCCAGTCTCGGTGTGAGGCAGCCCGCTGTGGCCTGTGGGGCCCCTTGGATGACCAGGTACCGCTAAGTGGGCCCTTAAAGTGCTGGTGAGCGGAGCGGGTGCCCCCTGACAGGCGGGAGGCCACAGCCATTGAGTGACCACCCCTTGGCACGTCCATGTATTTCGGTGCTTTAAAGGGAGGGTGGGGGGTCTGTGCTACACTGTGCTGCACTGTGATACACTGTGATGCATTGTGATACACTATGATACACTGTGATTCATTGTGATACACTGTGATACACTGTGACACTGGCATGGAATTGAGTTCCAGTACAGGAAACTGTTTTGTTTTTGTCATTTGTATCTTATAGGTTTAGAGACTCAGTCACAAAGTGCCAGGTCTGAAGAGCCTCAGTGGTGTTGCGAGGCTTCAAGAGGCTGCTGCCTTGCATCTGTTCTGTGCGGCTGTGTGTCTGTATCTTTGTGGCTGTTCTGTGCGGTTGTGTGTCTATGCGACTGTGTGTCTGTGCATCTGTGCATCTGTGCAGCTTTGCGGCTGTTCTGTGTGTCTGAGAGTGTGGCTGTGTGGCTGTTCTGTTCTGTGGCTATGCGGCTGTGCAGCTGTTCTGTGTGGCTGTACACTGTGGCTGTGCGACTGTCCCTACTCAGCACTGACCTGGCCCTGCGCCACCCATCCGTGAAGGCGTGCCCACGCTGATGCCGGCAGCGCCGTCCTCTCTCCGTCCCCGACACTCTCCGTCCAAACCAGAGGCTCCGGCTGAGACGCCTTGGGACATGCCGGAGGGGCCGGGCGCCTGGCAGCCCCCACCAGGCAACAGAGACCGGGAAACACCAAGTTTGCCCACGGCAATTCCATTAGGGGAATATTATCACTCAGAGACCCCGTGTCCCTGGTCGAGTGACCCGTCGCAAATGATTTCTCGGGTCAGGGACCCCATGAGAGGCCCACGCTGGAGACGCAGCTCAGACTCCAGAGAACTTCCCCAGGGCACGGCTGTGTACCGCAGGCGGTGGCCGCTCATGCCCACTCCCGCCGCTGACCCCAGACCCCGCATGCCCACAGGCTCGCTGGTGGGCAGCTCTGCCCCTCCAGCTGGCTCGTGGGTCCTGTGGGCAGGGGGAGCTTCGCTTGGACAGATTTCAAGCCAACTGCCATCTTTCGGGCCCAGGCTCACACCTGCTGTTGAGGCCCAGGTTCTTGGATGGCTCATTTTGCCCACAGTGAAATAAACTTGCTGAGAAGTTTCCACGACCGTGATCCCTCGCCCCTGGCCGCAGGCGGCAGCGTCCAGCCGAGGGCCCTGAGGGTGTGGACACTCACAGCCTCGTCCCCGAGACCCCCAGGTGCCCCCAGATCCTGCCCTGAGGCTCGAGCAAACCCCACAGCAGGGCCCGCGCTGCTCCTCCACAGCCGGGGGTGGGGGATGCGGCAGTGGGAGGCCAGTGAGAGTGGGGGGCCGGGGCTAGGGGTGTGGCCGGGGCCCGGGGACTCAGGCGCCACCACCAGGCAGCGTCTGCCTCCCAGAGCAGAGGGGCTGGGGCTCACCCAGGCCAGCAGGCCCAGGGGCTCCTGCCGGGGCCACCTCTGGCCCCATGCCGGCCGGGGAGAGACAAGTCCACGCGTCTCCAGGAAAGCGCCCAGTCGCCCTCCAGAGCTGGCCCCACCCCCATGCTGTGTCCTGCTGTCAGGCCCGCCCGCTCACTCCGGGCGTGGCCCCTCCCAGCCCCCCGCCGTGCCCCCAGACAGCACTGGAACACGCGCAGCCACAGATGGTCTGGGGAAGCAACAGCCTCGCTTCCAGAGATCGAACCCCAGAGGCCGGTCACCGGTCTTGACGCCACAACCCAGGGCCAAGCGCCTGTGTGGACCAGCCAGCACACCTGGCCCGGCACAGCTGTCCCTCCTGACCGTCTGTCCCCCCACGACTATCTGTCCCCTCGGACCATCTGTCCCTCCCTGACTGTCTGCCCCCCCGACTGTCTGTCCTTCCCCAACTGTCTGTCCCCCTGACCGTCTGTCGTCCTCGACTGTCCCCCCAACCTTCTGTCCCCCAGACCGTCTGTCCCCCCTAACTGTCTGTCCTCCCTGACCGTCTGTCCCCCCCGACCATCTGTCCTTCCTGACTGTCTGTCCCCCCAACCGTTGGTTCCCCCCCTGACCGTCTGTTCCCCTGACCATCTGTCCCCCCTGACCATCTGTCCTTCCTGACCGGCTGTCCCCCCCGAACGTCTGTCCCCTCCCTGACCGTCTGTCCCCTCCCTGACCAGCTGTCCCCCCGACCATCTGTCCCCCTCAACCAGCTGCCCCCTGACGAGCTGTCCCCTCCCTGACCAGATGTCCCCTTTCTCGACGTGTCTGAGTGCGCTGGCAGCGAGCCCACCACGGACACGCACAGACAAGCTCCCAGGGCCCGTAGCCCCCGGCCAGGCTACGGGGAAGGACCTCGCTAAAGGCTGACCCCAAAGAGGCTCTGACAGGAGGGTAGCCACCTGGCAAGAGCAGAACTGAGCTCAGAGATGGTCAGTACCTGACAGACAAGATCGGTACCTGACAGAGACGGGTCTGTGCCTGCACCTGCTTAGCCGGGAGGGGAGGCTCAGGGACAGATAGGAGAGATTTGGCCTACCTGGAGCTGACAGGTGTCGGTGCTGAGGGCGGGAGCCCAGGAGTGCCACAGCCCAGCGTGCGCTGGACGGGGCGTGCCCTGGGATGTAGCTCTGTGTCGCCGTCTGGGCTGGGCTCTCAAACGCAGCCCCTGTGAGACGAATCCCCGAGGCCTTTGCTGGCAGCTGTCTGCCCAGGGCAAGCCGGGCTCTGGGCACCCCAGGGTGCCTGGCCAGCACATCTGTGCCCCTCGCCCGTGTCACAGTCCGTGGTTCCCGGGCCCTCAGAGGGACACTCAGGGCTCGGCTCCGGGCACCCGGCCAGGAGCCAACAGCTCCTCAGGCTGCCTAGGAAGGTTCCAGAATCCACAAACTTGGTCCCTTGGAGCCACCTGCCAGGCGGGCTCAGGCTTCCGGGACTGCTGGCCAGAGGCAGAGGCGCCAAGGTCGCCTGCTCCCAGAGAAGGGCCGGGCCGTCTGCCACTCCCGCCCCCTCGGGTTCAGTTCAGGCCATGGGAAGGCTCATTTCTGAGGAAAACGTAAAGATTCAGGGTCCTCACGGCAGCACCGGCGAGACTATTCCTGCCCAGACAGAGCTGGGAAGACAGGCGAGGCCTCGCGTGCGGCCGACAGGACCCGGCTCCCAGCACCCCCACGAGTGATCCCTGAGACTGTTTACAGATTACTTCTGGCCATTCCAAGTGTCCGAGAGAGGCGGTCTTCCTCGAGCGGCACCTCCTTGATCCCACTCTCCTCCCTTCTTTGATCTAATGCCTAAAAATAAGTTTTTCGGAAGACCATGTTCTCAGCTGAATAAAATCTCTTCGCAGCGTTTTTATTACTGTCCTCGTCTTTCTTCCGGAACCGAACTGACAGTCCTCCATCTTCCTAGGACCCCCTTCCTCCTCAGCGTCCCCTTTATTCCACTCCCAAAGGCCTTTCCCCAGTGTTGCCTTGTCCCTGCTGACTGACACACCTGCATTCTGTTCGGAATCTGCAGTTCCCCTCAGCCTGCTCCCTCCATCACCATCCAGTTGTCTTTTCTCCTGGGGTGGCTCCCACTGTGCCGGCCCAGCCCTGGGCCAACTGGGCTGAGACCGTGTCACGTGTCACGCGTGCGCTTGCAGAGAGCAGCCCAGCCCGCTCTTCCCCGGACCCTGTTAGGTGGAGGTGCCTGGGCTGGTGGGTGGGCACGCCTGGCAGCGTCTGTGCCCCCAGCCCACCTCCCCCCGCGACTGTCGGGAAGGGCCGGCTCTCACTCCCCGCACCCCACCTCTGTGACCCCAGCGGCCAGACGTCTGCCACTTCCAACCTCTCTCCAGGGTCTGGACGGGCTTCTTTGTGGCTCTTGCTGTGTCTCAGGCCCCGACTGTCCTCCTGCCCGGGTCTGTGGCTCGTCCCTCCCACGTCACGCCCGTCTCTCTGCAGCCCCCTTCCTCCTGGCTTCTGTCTGCCCCCAGCCCCCGCAGTGGCCCTTGGGGGCCTGGGCCTGGCAGCACCCAAGCCCAGTAGAGCTGGAGTAACCAGGCTCACCAGTTGGTCCCCTGGGGTCCCTCCAGCACCTCTGCTGGCCCTGTCCTGCAACCCCTCTGTTATCACAGTCATGCCTGAGCGCCCTGGGGCGGCGTCAGGGGCAGGGCCTGGCCTGGCAGGAGAGAGGCCTGGGCTCTAGTGTCCAGAGAAAAGGAGATAAAAGCATTTAGAAAAACCCGCCCCTTCAAGCGGGAGGCAGGGGTGCCTGGGGGGAGAGGGAGGGAGAGAAAGAGAGAGGGAGGGGGGGAGAGAGAGAGAGAGAGAGAGAGAGAGAGAGAGAGAGAGAGAGAAGAGAGGGAAGGAGGAGGGAGGAGGGGAGAGAGCTGCTTTAGCGGGCAATGGGGTGACCCTGGAGGGGGCTGTGCCCAGAGGGGCTGTGTGTGGGGGGACCTCCCGGCGCTCCTTGGCCAGCCCCTGTCTCAGCAGAGGCGGGCAGGGGGCTCTGGGGGCGGGACAGGTGTGACAGACTGGAGGCAGGTGATGACCAGCTGCAGCCCCCGCTGGCCTCTGGCCCTTTTCGTTCGCAGTTATTTGGTCCCTGAGTGTCACCAGGCATCCGAGTGTTCCCTGGAAACCATCTCCTTGTTATACTGCCAGATATCTCCTCTGGGAGGAGAACACACACACACACACACACACACACACACACACACACACACAGCTCAGAGCCAGGACGCTTGAGGAACGGCAGAAAGGCCCGTCAGGTCCTCATGCTTGGGCGCCAGGCGGGGCTGGGAGGGTTGCGTCCGAGCAGGGGCCCCTGGGACACAGCGAACCACACCAGAGTCAGCCGCCACCCGGAGAACTTGTGAGCCTGAGCCAAGAGTCTGGCGGCTGCGAGGGCCAGTTCTGGCCTTCCTCGTCCCGTCCATCGGTGCCGCTGGTCACTGGGCAGGGGCAGGGCGGTGGGAGCGGGCAGGATTTGAGCACACAGCCTGGCGGAGACAATCAGAACCTCACAGTTGTCTCACAGCGGGCAAAATTGTCCCATGTGATTTGGCAATTTGGTACAATTTAAAATTGGTCATTTTCATGATTTTTCTGACTTCTGATAAGGAAAATGCATTTTTTTCTCCTGGGAAACAACTCAAAGTAATTTTTGCAACGGATATTCCTCATGAAATTATGTGTAAGGATCCAAAGCATGGAGTGATGGAGAGAACCTTTTCCAAATGCATCTGAAAAAGAGCTACTGTGGCTCTGATAGTTATTTGAATAACATTTACCCGTGTGAGCTGAGGACGGTTTGTCAAAACCCAACAGAGACTGCTAAACGGAGGAAAGATAATCTGTCTGTAAACACTCGGGCTGTTCGAGTAGTTCAGCTTATTCCAGGGGCATGTGAACATCTAGACTCAGCCACGAACCAACAGTTCTTACCTGAAAGTCAAGAAACAATATCGGCGCGGGTCATAATTATTCTGTAGTTCATCTCTACACTTTGTCATCCCAGAAGGGCACGGGAACAGCTGAGTAAGGGGGGTCAGGGGGCCAGAGTGACAGGACAGAGGGAGGGCGCTGGCCTCGCCCGTGGCTAACCTGGGTTCAATCCAGCACCACAGATTAGGCCCACTGGAGTGATCCCTGAGCACTGTCAGGAGTAAGCCCTGAGCACCACCGGGAGTGGTACAAACATGAAAATAATAATTAAAGAAGGAGGGGAGGGGAGGCCTTGGATCGGAGTCTGGGCGTGTCCAGCGGAGTCAGATGCCGACGTCACAGCTCAGGCCGTCTGGGGCCCGACAGCTGCGGGGATCGGGAGCGTGTGTCACGGGCTTCCAGGAGACGTGGCTTCAGGGACAGGGCAGCTGGCCGAGAAGCAGAGGGTCTGCACAGCCCCAGCCCCCAACTCAGGAGTCAGCAGGCCCTACGCATGCCTGTCTGTGAGCGAGCCTGGATCTGGAACATTCTGGAATCGTGGGGTCACAGCGGCCTGAGCACCAGCCTTGCCCTTTGCCGTCACGGACCCACGGCGCCTTCTCCCAGGGGGCCTCTCCCGGTCAGCCCCACCCTGGCCAGGTGCCCACTGCTCTGACCAGAAGCCGGAGATGAGCAGACGAGGGCGGGGGTGACACACCAGCAGGTGTCCACATGAGCGCCCACCCCCAAGGCCGCAGGCCGCCAGCCCCGGCTACAGCAGGTGGCAAAGGACTTAGTTTCTCTGCCTCTTTCCTTGACCAATGACCAACTGACAATTCAGTGGGGCCAAAGTGATTGACTTG